CGTAATCCTTGTCACGCCCACTACAAGTTTCTTAATAGATATCGGCTTTATCTAATATTTATTTTTGACGGTCGTTTTTTATTCTTAATTAATTAAACCCTAATAATTAAGCATAAAACACATAATTCACATAATATTCACATAATTCCTTTTCATTTCTTCAAAATGAGTTAAAAAGGTTAACCTAGACTATAATGTCAATATTAATGCCTAGTTTAGAAACACGGGCATTACACATACACTACTGCCTCGGGTACCACCCGACACGGGACCGAAATCCGGAACATATAAACTGCATCGGGCTAACCCCGGTAGCGGATCTAAATCCGAAACATGTCACAATGAGTGCCTAGGGCTAACCCCCGGGTCTTACTACTATACATAAACATAAACATAATGGGTCGGCATTGTGGTCGTAGACCTATGCATACAGTGAGGAGACTCACCTTGCCCTGCTGAAGACCTGCTGATACTCTTATGGCTGCTAGCTGGTAATCCCCCGGACTGCTGATCCTTCGACTCCCCGAACTATCAATACCCCAAAATAACACTTAGACCACAACACCCTTGGAGGTCAATTCAGGTCAAACTTGGTCAAAGTCAAAGTCAACGACCAATGGTCAAAGTCAACACTCCAAGTTGACTCAACTCGCCGAGTGGCTCATTCAACTCGTCGAGTACAAAACCCAGAACACTGAAATCCTGAACCCACTTGCTGAGTCAGCCCCTGACTCGCCGAGTTCCCTGGATAAACAGACTCGCAGTTCATCAAATCAACTCGTCGAGTCAACTCGCAAACTCGCCGAGTTCTAGCTTGAACAGAAACGAGACAATACACTTCGACTCGTTGAGTCCCTACTTGGACTCGCCGAGTCCCTTAGTCTGAATGAGCCATCTTAACAGTTTAATCCCCATACACTTCATATCTAAACCCCAAACTGCGTCTACATGTTGGAAATTATCTCATGAGCGTAAAGTTTCCAACTTTACCCACTCCTAATCCTTCTTAATGGGTTTAGACAAAACCCTAGCTCATTAAGACATAACTCCATGATCCAAAACCCTTATTACTCCAAACCAAAACAGGGAAATCAAGATCTAGGCTCTAGGCATCCAATAACCACGTAAAGTCCTGGACTTTACTTCCTTGCATGGCCTTTAGGGCTCCAAAAGGCCATGATAATCTCTTTAAGCTTGCATGGGACATCCTAATGGCATAAAGCTTGCACCTTTATGCCTTAGCCACACTTAGGGGCTCCAGATCTGAATGGATCTAAGCTTGGGACGTCCTTGCCCCCATAGATCTAGCTTTTGAACCAAAACTCAAACAAAAGGGACATGAGGAGATCTAAGAGGTTGATGAGCAAGGTTAGGACTTGATTACCAGAAAGTGATGAGATTGAGAAGCTATTTCTGGATCTACAATCCTCTTCTTGATTCCTCCAAGATTTTCTCATTCTTCAAGCTTCCAAGTAGACCAAACACACTCCAAAAATGGCTCACAATCACAAGAAAGGCACTAGGGTTTCGTTCTGGACTCGAGAGAGCATTAAGGAGGCTGAGGGAATGAGAATATGATGCTTAAATAGGGCACCAAGTCCCGAAATTAGGGTTTCCCAACCTTGACCAGACTCGCCGAGTCGGCCAGTCCCCGGCGACATCCTTGTTTGCTGCTCCGGCGACTCCCCGACGACAATCACATAACATTCTGAATCAACTGATGATTCCTCATGGAGTAAATGACCAATTTACCCCCTGGTCAAAGTCAAAGTCTTGGTCAGAGTCAAACTTCCATGTTGACTCTACTCGCCGAGTCCTACTATGGACTCGCCGAGTTCCCTAATTCACAATTATCTAACTCGCGACTCGACTCGCCGAGTCAGGGCGTGGACTCGCAGAGTCCCTCCACTTCCAGATCCTTGTTCTAACTCACCGAGTCCTTTTCCACTTACTGATTCAACTCACAACTCTCAAATCGGGGAAAACAGGGGTTTACGCTCCGACTCGCCGAGTCCGATGAACGACTCGTCGAGTCCTATGCATGTCTTCACTATACAGTTGATTCTAATCGATTCCAGTGCATCCAATTCATAGATCTGAGCTTCTAGGGATAATATAACACGTAAAGTTGCCAACTTTACGTACATGCATAGAGGTATGAAGCTAAAACACCAAAATGAGCTAGAAATGGGAACCTAGGGTTTGGAACAAGGCCTTGCTTTGCATAAAGGCAGCTACTTTGAGCTCCTGGAGCTCAATGATGACCAGATCTATAGTCTCCATCCTAAGGAGATCTCAAATCTCGAGTTTGGACCTTGAATGTCCCAAAAGTGGCTAAACAAGCATATATGAAGATCTACTAGGAAAATGAACAAGGTAGAGACTTTATTACCAGGTGAAGTAGCAAATGGAAGCTAGCTTCTGGATCTCCTTCTTCTCCTTTGCACCTTCACTCTTTCCTTCACTTCTACCCTTCCAAGAATACACCAAAACACTCAAAATCAAGAAGGAATCACTCAAGCTCACCAATGGAGGCTAGGGTTTCGAGGGGGAACGCTCTATGGGTGCTGGAGGTTGGGATGAGGGCTATAAGGACGTTTAAATAGGGTACAAACCCTAAGGATTAGGGTTTCCTCCAGACTGGCCTACTCGTCGAGTCCAGGCGTTGACTCGCCGAGTAGATCACTTAAAACCCGCGTCCATCCTGGCATCTACTCGACGAGTTAGGGCTATTACTCGCCGAGTAGCTCTTTATAAAAGACATTTAATAAATTAAATACGTACCAGGAACTGGGCGTTACAATAACTCACATGAAAACACACACACACACATTTGTGTTATCACAGATGTGATGGTGGTGCGATGGTCGACGGAGAAGCAAATGTGATAGTGGTGTGATGATGGTTGTCGGGGATGCGGAGGAGAAACATAGGACGGGGATGTAAAGATCGTCTTTTTCAATTCAAGAAACGACTTGGAAGGAGGTAAGACATGGATGGGTGAAGCAAACTATTCAAAAGGGTTTCTGGAAAACATCATATGATTATGAACCACTTTTTGAAAAAAGACATTAATCAATTGTTTATAAAGATTCATTAGATTCCTTAGGAAGGGAGTATGTGTTGTGTGTGTATGTGTTCTTGTGTATGAGAGAGAGAGAGAGAGAGAGAGCCCTATTTTATTTTTTAATTATAAAAAATTTAACAATTTTTTTTTTAAAAAAAAAGAAAAAGAAATACATCAAGGAGTATTTTACTCTTTTCGGTTTTTCGAGGGATCAAAACCAAAAGCAAACTAGCGAAAAAAGCTTACTAATCCAAAAAAATCGAGGTTCGGACCAAAACCCTAAAAAAATATACATCACATGGACCATTTTTGCAGTTTTATCTATTTATATATAATGATATTTGAGTAAATTACATGAATCGTCCATCGTCCAGATGCCAAAAGGCACGTTCAGTCCTTATTTTTTAAAATTAACTCAGACCGTCCCTTAAAACTTAGAAAATTGCACGCTTAGTCCCTAACAATATAAAATGACTATACTGCCCTTTTCAAATTCTTTTTCAATTATTTTTAATGCTTCTGATTAGTTTAATTATTAAAAGTATTTTAATTTATTTGTTTATATTAATAATTTTTTTAGGAAAGATACACATAGGCCTAGTTTGTTTTTCTACAAAAGTACTTTTTGAGCACTTTTCCCTTCTGGCGGGTAGACGTTTCTCAAGTGTACGTCTTAATCCGCAAACAAGGAAAAAGACAAAAGACATCTAACCACTTCCAAAACAAACAACACCATACTCTCCCACCCCATTATAAATACTCTCACCCCTCTTTCTCCCATCTTCTCCATCACAAACCATCGGTTACCACCTCTCCACCGGTCACCATCTCTCCATCGGAAACCACCGTCCAACGCCGCAAACTACCACTTTCCTCTGTCGACTACCACAACCACAGGAAGCTATCGTTTCTCTCTTTCGCTCTCCCCTTCTCTCTTATAGACGACCAACATAATCACTGCATCTGTTAAAAGCCTAATCTCCGACGACCAACACCATCCTCTGATTTGTTAACGTCTTCGTTGAAGATTTAGACCACCACAAAGTAGAACCTGTATTTTGTCCTTCTCTTTACCTGATTTTGTACCTCTCTTCACCAGATCTATACAACTACCACCTCAGATCTAAGGTTTCGACGGATGAAGAACAGATGTATCGTTTTCAATGGGTAAAGAATAGATATGTTGGGTTCAATGGCGCTACGGTTTAAACGAACCTATGGTCTTCAAGTGGTGATGACGGTGCTAGGGTTTCAATTGAAGATCAGGAGACCAGAGGAAGAGAAACCGACGGTGGTGATGCTATTTCTGATGTGGCCCACATCTCTGGCAGATGTGGTACTCGTCGGACGTGAACAGAAAAATGGAAAGAGGTTTTGGTTCGGCGGTCAATAAGGTTTCCGGTGGTGGCTTTCAACAAGTCCGGTGGTGTTTCAATTTCCAATGGTGGTGCAGTCAGTTCCCGATAATGGTGGTGGTTAAATATTCTTCAACAAAAAAAAACGAGAAAGAGAGCAGTATATGAAATCATGAATATAAAAAACAAATTGAAAAGTAATTAAAATAATTTTTAATAATTAAAAGTAATCGAAAATATAAAAAATAAATGAAAAAATAAATTGAAAAGGGCATTATAGTCATTTCATTTCTCGAAAGAGATGAAGCGTGCAAATTTAAACTAACGAGGGATTTGACGTGCAACTTTTAACCAAACAAGGGACGACCCGAGTTAATTTTTGAAAATAGGGACTGAACGTGTCTTTTGATACCTGAACGATGGACGATTCGTGTAATTTTCTCATGATATTTTTAACATGACTTTATACTAAAAATAAAAATAAAAAAATAAATTCTGGGACCTTTAAGACAAATCACAAAAGTTCGTGGGATATTTTCCTATTTGTAAAGATTTGAAATTGTATAATTATATTGGAACCAATTGTATTTGCTGTAGTTTTCTTTATTTACCTGGCTAGGGAGAGAAGAAAGCAGCTAGAAAAAAATGGGGGAGGGTGACGCAGAAGTGGTGCAACAGCAAGTATGGAGCAGAGAAACAATGCCGAAGGTGATGAAGATTATAAGCACCAGACTCAGGCTTCCTCAGCGAGACCTCATCTCTCTTCTTCTCGTCTCCTCGTCTCTTTACCGTACTCTCGTGTCCTCCGCTTCCCTATGGCTGGTAGTTGTAATTTGTCTATCGGTTCCTTACTTCCAAAATCATGATTTGAGTAATAACCCTAATTATAGATTTCAAATTAGGTTATATTTATGTTGGGGTTTGTATGTGATCTTTTAAATTGGGCAGGTTCTTGATTTTCATGAGATGAAGAATGCTGGAGATCGACTTCTAGCTGCCCTTGCGCTGGTTTGTTCCAATTCCAATTCCAATTCCTCTTCTTCGAATTCGTTTATCTTCTTTGTTAGTGTTAGGGTAAAGTGGCTATCACTATGAAGTTATGATCATGAACAAGGTTTAGGTTTTCCAAGAATTGGAGTTTTACTCAATCTGTAGAAGCGTGTGCTTCTGTTCTCTCCCATTATGTGACTTTCTATGTATTGCAGACGAGATATCATCATGTCAAGCAGATAAACCTCGAGTTTGCACAAGATATCGAAGATAAACATCTGGACATTCTTAAGAACAAGGTAGAATACTGTTGAGGTTGTTGTTTTCTATATCTACAACCCAAATTCATACCATTGTTATTTGCAAATGAACACGAATGTTCAATTCTCAGTTTGCAGGTTCCCTTCAGCACCTGGAGCATTTAAATCTTAATGTCTGCCAAAAAATCTCTGACAAGGGAATTGAGGCTATAACTTCAGTCACTCCTTCTTTAAAGATATTCTCCATCTACTGGAATGTTAGGTACATAAATTTTCCCCTAATTTTCTTTTTTCTCACCATATCTCATATCTACCTTTCTTGATACTATTATTTGCTTCAGGGTTACAGATGTTGGCATATCACATCTGGTAAAGAACTGCAAGCATATTCTTGAGTTGAACTTAAGTGGTTGTAAGGTATATTACAGTTACAACTGATATAGATTTATTCCAGTTTTTTAATCTTATATATTTTTGATAGAAATGCAATTGATGTGGGATAACAGGGTATATCAGATAAAAGTTTGCAAATGGTTGGTGACAGCTATCAGCATCTGGAGTTGCTAGATATCACTAGGTATGTTATGTTGGTGAAGGCTTTTACTTGATTCTTGAAATAAAAAGTTTCAATCTTTATCATCTTAACAACTTTTATGAAAGCAAATATTAAACTTTTATGAACTCTTGATTATGTAGATGCATCAAGATAACAGATGGGGGTTTGCAACATATTATGGCCAAATGCTCTGGACTCAAGAGTCTAAATCTCTATGCTCTTTCAAGGTATCTATCTTTCATCAGTGAAAAAGACGTGAATGCCCTCCTCAGTTCTCACTCCCATATTTACTTATATATATATATATATATATATATATATATATATATATATATATATATTACTTCATACTGTGTTACTTCACTTACTTGATTTAATGATTTATCAAGACTTCATTTATTTTTTTTAGCTTCACAGATGAAGCTTATAAGAAACTTTCACTTTTGAGCAATCTTAGATTCTTAGATCTTTGTGGTGCTCAGGTATATTATATGATTCTTTTACTTTTTACCTATGATTCTCCACGAAAAAATAATTTATTTTTTTCATTTTTTTTACAAACAGAATATATCTGATGAAGGCCTTTTCTCTATAGCCAAATGCAAAAATATTCGTATCCTCAATTTGACATGGTAATCTATATTCTATATTTCCCATAATCACACAATATTTATAATATTTATTTTTATAATGTTTTTGTATTAAATATTTGTTAAAGGTGTGTACGTGTGACTGATGTGGGTGTCATAGCCATAGCCAAAGGTTGCACCTCTCTTGAATATCTTAGGTAAATCAACACACTTTGTGGTTATTTATTTTGGTATTTTTATTAATAGTAATAATAATTGAAAATATTGCATGCAGCTTATTTGGAATTGTGGGAGTTACTGATAAGAGTCTAGAAGTCCTCTCAGAATTCTGCTCAAACACAATCACAACACTTGATGTGAATGGATGTATTGGCATCAAGGTATCTTAAATCTTATTAATAGCAATGTACTTTTTGATTTGTCCCATTTTATATAGAAAGGGTAATGTTGGAAAAATGTTGATAATCTTCTAGAAGCGTAGCCGTGAAGAGCTTCTTCAGTTATTTCCATATCTAAGGTGCTTCAAGGTTCACAGTTAGTATATGACTGTAGTAAGTGTTTAATTCTACTTTATATTTACAATTGAGCTTTGATTCCCTTGTATTTTGTATATTTTGTGTTGGATTTATTTTTGTATACTGATATATAGTGAATCTGAACATCTTAGATCAATGCATCATATTATTCGTAATTGAATGATGAAAATAATATCTCAACTTCTTGAGAAGCAAATTCACAATAATCTTAAAAGGAGTCGTATAATCGTATTAGATATAAGAGGAAAAGAAAAATATTTTATTCAAATCTAATTTTAAATCTTCTAAAGTAAAGCCTTAATTAAACCTAGTGACTTTGAACTTTTTCATCTCTAAGATTTCATGGGCCACAGTTGTAAGCACAAACACAAGAATAATGGCCGAAAAAGCTAGAAAGTTCACAAAATCCATTGCCATTGTATTTTTCGAAACATTCTTTACGACAATCTGCAAGGATACAGTCATTTGGATTCAACACCTGAGCGCATCTTTTCTGACTATTCACCATTGAAACTCCGGCTGAAAATGAGAAAGAATAAGCGCATTACACCACAATATATATTCAAACTATAAAAGTTAAGTATTAAACAATATGTTTGTTATGAAGACACGAGATAACGAAGGAGACAAACCTGCAATAACTACAATGAAAAGCAACATGCAAAAGTAGGTGGACTTAGACATGGTTAAGAATATGGACAAAAGTAGGTGCAATTTCTGAATGTTTTGCTCTATGGATTAACCAAGTTCGTTTAAATAGAGGGGTTATGCGTTTTTTTTTTCTCTTTCTTTTTTACTTCTTAGAACAAAGAAACGGAAATACAATAAATGAAGCTAATTAATACAAAAAAAAAAAAAAAACTTCCAAAGGTAATAAAGAGTTTTTAAATTTGTCATATATTCGACGTTGAGCTCGGTAGTGCCTCTGTGGCATTGTCTCACACCGCGTCACATACTCGACATTTCTCTATCGTGCTCACCTCATCTCCCAACTACCAACTAACGACCAATTTTTATTTTATTTTATTTATTTTTCAATTTTCAAATTCTATAAGTACAACCCTTAAACACCATTTTATACCACTTTAAAACCTTCTTCTTTCTTTTGCCTTGTCTCCATCTTTATCTTTGAAATTTTTTTGAGTCGGTGATAGAAACGACCATGAAGGTTATTCAATTCATTGAAATGACGATAGAAGAACTACACCAGCGTGATACAAAAAATACGAGGCGAAAAAAAGATAAATAAAAAAAATCGTGAAGCTGCCAACCAATGCTTCATGCACGATTATTTTGGTGAGCATGCAATTTTTCAAGGCTATTTTTTCGATGGCGGCTCCATATGTATAAACATTTGTTTTAGCATATAGTCAATGATGTTATAGAAGTTTGTCCATATTTTTAACAACGTGCAGATACAAGAGGTACACTAGGTTTTAGTCATTTACAAAAATACACAATCACACTTCGTATGCTAGCATATGCCACTTCCCCCTGATGCCTTAGATTAGAATCTTAGTATGTCCACAAGTACCGCATTAGAACGCTTTCACAAATTTTGTAAAAATGTCATGAAATTATATGCTCCACGATATTTTCATAACTTACTTATAGTGATATCCAACAATTATATGATTATCATGCGAATGTGCATGGCTTTCCTGGATTGTTAGGAAACTTAGATTGCATCCATTGGGGGATGGGAAAATTATCCAAATGCATGTCATGGTCAATACACCCGAGGTGATCATGGCTATCCAATAGTCATACTTGAAGTTATGGTCTTATAGGATTTGTGGACATAACATGTCTTCTTGTCATAATTCCTTGAATGATATAAATGTTCTTAACATGTCTCCGATATTCGATGACATGTATAATGAAACTGTACCAGACTACTAATCTAATTAATTTACCTATTTTTTTTGTTGAAATATCTAACTAAAAAAATCACAAACAATTATTGATTTAATTTATCTACTTTGTATTAATATGAACGGCTACTTGAACATATAAATCAACCATGGTATGAAAACCTCACACCAATCTACAAAAAATAACTTCTATAACGACGTTTGTGGAGGAATATAATTAAATTAAAAAAATCAGTATATATGTTTAATTAAGCACTTGATTATGCAATCATAGTAATTATTATGCATATATATTTGGTAAAATAACTGTGATTTTAATACATAACAAACTTCGTTCATTCAGATATATAGTTGATGCAAAAGAATATGATGAGCCATAACAATAAAATTTTCACGGAATTGGCAAATTAAGATTAAGGAGAGATTAAACTTGTAACGTAAGATAAGTGATGTTTTTTTAATTAGTACACTATTAATAAATAAAGAACACTTTTAAACTTACACGGTATAATTTGTCAAGTTGGTACCTAGTAATATTTTTGACGGTAAACCCTATATTTAGTAGCATAATATGTAACATTTTGTTAATTGACATATAATTAAATATAATATTATGTTTGAAGTGAATAATATTTTTCATAAGCTTTTTTATATATGGTTTAGTTTCAACAACAAAATAAAGTAAAAAAAAAAATGGTGAACAGGATCCCAGATGTTCTCTGCTTACTGATCGATGCTAATAATAAAAAGTGAATCATAATCTTATATAACAACAAAATGAAAAATAATACCATAAAATAATAAATAATAATTGTATTAATTTTGATAAGTACATGTATTCAAGTTTCCTTTTATCCGTAAAATGACAAAAAAGAATGTAATAAACAATAGAACTTGAAATTTCATTATTTTTGAAGCTTCTTGATTTAACTAGCAAAATAATGTTTTCTTGATCGAAGAATTAAAAAAATAAAAAATAGTTACATATATGTTACTAGTATTTAAACGAGTGTAATCAATCTTTAAAGCAAGACATTTTCGAATTCCACATTTAAGTATTTTCAGTGATTGTGTCAACATGTCAACATCTACGTATTATTGGTTCCTGTTCATGGTTATCATCGTGATCATAGGTTAGCCCACATGTTTCTTCTTGTTATTATGTTTTCAAGTCATAATTACTTTAATTTGAACAATGTGGTTCGTGTTCATTATAAGATTTGAATTTGATACACAATATGTTCATACTTTTCAAACATGTTATGCCAATGTTTCGTGAAAAAATATCATACATGAGCTTCTGTTATCTCTTATTATTGATGTAAGATACATGCATGTATGAGTGATATCTATTTTTATTGGAATATATTTTACATATGGTATTTTATTTTTTTATTTATTTTGTAGATGGAGTTTCAATAGTCAATGGCCAAGAAAGATGCATGGAGGTGTTCAATCCAAATTATTGTAATCTTGCTGAATGTCGTCAACAATGTTTTGAGAGACGTAATGGCAATGGATTTTGCTCCGGCTTCTCTGGCCATTATTCTTGTGTTTGCATTTACAATTGTTGATGGGTCTAAACAATGAAATTATCCTATGAACAAACCTGAAGGTATCTAGCTACTTGGTTTAATTGCAATCAGATCCAAGTTATGTTTGTATGGATCTTTAATTACTAAATAAAGGAATAACTATTTTTTTTATCGTTATAAATATCTCGGTCTAAAGTGATTACGATCGCAAATTTTGTTAGATAGTGGGTTTCGGATATCAATAATAACCCTTGCATAATTCAAGGATCATGTTATAAAAGCATTGTCTAAGTCTTCTTTTAATAACACTTGTATATCTTTGTTATGCAATGTTCAAGTCTTCATTTATATGTAGAAAATGATGATCAGTAGGGAAAACGGTTCCCCGCCAGGGACGATGCCCCCTGAAACTCCACCAAGGGCGTTGCCTCCGATCTCTTGTTTCCGGGTCCTCTTTAACTACCCAATTGTGCCTTCTGCACCTCGTATACCGGAATATAACTAAATGAAACTCAACCTATCTTGAATAAAATCTTGACTAAATTAAACGTGTTTATGACAAAAAAATCAACAAATTTGTGGATACACAAGAATTATGTATACGGCCATTCTCATCCAAACATGTTTTGGAACTATGACAAAAAAAATGAAAAATTTGGCTTATTTTTGCTTATATTAAAATAAATAATCAAAATGCATTTATAATAATAAAAAAAATAACAATCATATGATTATTGTATACGCCAAATAAAGGGGGATTACTAATCTAACCAAATTCATTAATGACTTATCATTTTTTAGCCAAAATTTAAGACTTATTACAAAATAGTCATCGAAACCGTAGGTGGTTAAAATTGCATACTGTTTCGCCCATTTACCTACTGTTTTGATTTTAGTATATAAAGATTTTTTTTTTCATTTTACATTACGAAACCATAGACGAAAAAATGGTCTACTGTTTCCTCTGAGAAGTCTACTGTTTTCCAAAGAGTAGATTAAAAATGGTCTACTGTTTCGTCCAAAACGGTTTTGGTTTTTTTTTTTTTTTTTTTTTTTTTTTTTTTTTTTAAAGATGAAAAAAAAAAACACTAACTTTTACTCTAAAAGAGATTTTTCTTTTAATATATACTAGGTATGATATAGTAGTCAAAATACATGAATTAGTAGTCAAAATACCAAAAAAAAACCCCAAAACCGTAGGTTTTTAGATGAAACAGTAGATCATTTTTAACAACTCTTTGGGAAACAGTAGACTTCTCAGAGGAAACAGTAGACCATTTTTTCGTCTACGGTTTCGTAATGAAAAATGAAAAAAAATCATTATATACGAAAATCAGAACAGTAAGTAAATTGGCAAAACAGTAGGCCATTTTAACCACCTACGGTTTCGATGACAATTTTGTAATAAGTCCTAATTTTTGGCTAAAAAGTGATAAGTCATTAATGAATTTGGTTAGATTAGTAATTTCCCCCCAAATAAATAACTTAAACTACAATATAAAGTCCACTAATTTACTAAAAAAATTATTCAAAGGATTTTAAGAAAATCAACATTTATAGATTTAACATATATAGTTATTGCAGGCCGATCCAAACATGTCGTGGGCCCAGGGCAAAATGAAAAAAAAACGCCCCCAAAGTCATAATTAAAATAAAGATGAATTTAAAAATAAACATACCATTACAAAATCCACTAATAATATTAAAAACACAGATATGACAATAACATTA